GCTAGTAAGAATGTATTATATCCTTGAAAAACAACGCTTCCATTTAAAACAACAGTAATCAAAAATAAGCCATAAGAGTCATCTGCTTGACATTATGGAACTGTTTTTCACTGAATTTTCCCTGATCTTGTGCTCTTTTGTGTGAGCTACACTATATATGTTTGCATGGATAGATATTATGCACAATGCTAATGTCACATCTGAAGTTTAAAAAGTAGTTGAAAGTTCATCTGGATGCTTCCAGGCTGGACTGGACTGTGATTATGTGAACCAAGAGAACACTGGGAAAATGATGCTATGGCCAACTTCATATTGAAATATACTAGGACTTGCAGGCTGTGCCTTGGTGTACAGCAGCCATAAATTAATGTACTTTCTATAAAACCTAAGAGTTACCTGACTTCTGTCTTAATGGGCCTCCCAGGAAGCACTGAGATTTCATGAAGTCAGAGAGGAGAACATAGGGATCTCACACTCACGTTCGGTCGTCCCGGTTAGGATAGAAACATGTGAGTGGAGGCCAGACAAGACCAGCTACCACCGGAACAGCCTTGAGTAGCTTCCGGGATGCTATTTGGAACGGACGTCTCACTGGATCATCTCTGCCTGAATTCCTGACCCAGAAAAGTATGTGGATAATAAAGTGAATGTTATTTCAGACTGCTTAGTGTACAGGTGTTTTATTATGTAACAATAATCACCAAAACAACCTGAGTACATTGTGGAGTTTTGCTAGCATATACTCAACATTGGATTTACTGGGTCATGGGCTGACACATTTTCATATTTATTGTGTAACGCAGAAATATTTCTTCTCTGCAATGTCTCCGTCATAATGCATTCCCACAGCAGCATGTTATAACTGTTCCTGTGTTACCTATGGGACTTAGTAGTGCTTACCTGGGCTCTAATTGACTTATAGGAGTTGTCCACAAATTTTGTGAATTTATTATTTTTTAAATTTACCTATGTGTGTATGTGTGTTTCCCTTCTCTTCAGCAAAATTTGATGAACAGAAATTCTTTTAGCTAATGAAACTAAAAAATACCTTCTTTCATATTTAGAATTTGGGATGTCTTGTTTGAGAAATTCTCCATTCTCTCCTATTCTTCTATTAAATTCTAAAGACATCTACTGTGTGCCTTTTATATCTATCTGTAATCTTCCAGGAACCCAAGCTGTGTTGTGTTTATGCATTTATGTGCACATGTAAATATGTAAGTGATATAGGTATCAAACTTTATTCTTTAATTTTCACAGCGATGGTGAAGTTAGTTTCTCAGTAATATTTCCAGATATTTGATAGACAAGAATTTCCTCTGGACTTCTCTTTCAGGCCCTGATCATTGGAACATCACTTTGAGAAGCTATGCTCTTTACTTACCAAGACACTTAACTACACTTGTAAATTCATCATTCTTGGGATACTAGGTCAACATGTACACGCACAGTCATTCTACAATGAAGTCATTTATTTCTCTTCAATTTGAGTAACTTTAATCAAGTCTACATGTTCTTTCTAAAGGTCTTTGTTACCAATTGAAGGAAAGAATTAAAACATTCTTCTATAAAAACCTTAAAGTATTCAAGATTATAGTGCAAAAGCATGTATGAAGTACAAATATCAGAAATATTCTAATCAATTTTGGAACTTGACACCAAGTGTTCTAGTTCAGAGCCTTATCTGAAACACACATATTCAATTTTAGTAATAATGCCACCAGATATTTCAAATGGTCCAATATAGGATCTGTGACTCAGAATCAGAAAAGTATATAACTGTGTGATCTTGAAATGCCCTCTTTTTCAAGTTCTTTTAAGTGGAATTCTATTCTTTGAACATATAGCTCTTGTCTTTTGTACTGAGTTTCTACAGGACCCATACATTTTATTACTCCATTATAAAATATTATATGAGAAGAGCAGGAGTGAAGGTACCAGTAATTTCTTAGTCTACCAGGAATATGCCAGGACTATGCTGGGATAACTGAAATCAAAAGTAATGATGAATTTCCCCCCTCTCACATTCTCTTAGTTGGTTCTTTCAAATAAATACTTTTCTCTCAAAAAGCTAATTTAGATGAGGCCCTTGTCTGTTGTATGGCTAGTGAAAACCTTCTTCCAATCTTTGGGCTTCTATTGATATTTCTAGCTATGTGCTTTGCCATGCAGAAACTCTGAAGTTTTATGCAATCCCAGTTGTCCAACATTTCTTTGATTTGTTGTGTTTCTGGGTTATTAAGAAAATTTTAGCCTGTTCCCAGGAGCCCTGGTTTCTCTTATTCCTTCCTGTAATGTTTTCAGGGTGTCTGCATTTGCTTGGAGGTCTTTGATCCATTTGGAGTCGATTCTGGTGCAAGGTGATTTGTAAGAGTCTAACTTTAGTCTTCTACAGGTGTTTAACCAATTTTTCCAGCACCATTTACTGAAGAGGCTGTTTTTCTTCCATCCTATTTTTGACTCCCTTATCAAAGATTAAGTGGCTATAGGTCTGCAGGTTCATTTCTGGGTCTTCATTTCTATTCCATCGGTCCTCAAATCTGTTCTTGTGCCAGTATCAAGCTGTTTTGATTGCTATGGCTTTATAATAGAGTATTGATATTCCTCCAGCACTGTTCTTTCTGCTAAGGATTGTTTTTGCTATTCAGGGTCTTTTAGTATTACATATGAATTTTTGGATTGCTTCTATTTCATTAAAGAATGAGGTTGGGATATTGATGGGTATTGAAGTGAATTTGTAGATAGCCTTTGGCAGTATTACCATTTTCATGAAGTTAATCCTTCCAATCCAGGAACATGAAAGGTTTTTCCACTTTCTTAATTCTGCTTTAATTTCTTTTTCGTGTTTTTGAAAGTTTCCTTCTTAGAGGTCCTTCACTTCTTTGATTAATTCCCTTATTTGAAATAAATATATATCTAGGATAATCTTAGCAGATGAGCAGAATAGCTCAATATCTAAGTATATGTGACCATATAAGATGCTAAGCGAAATGTCCAAGACATCGACACAAGATGTTTTTCTTTGTTGCTGTTGTTTTTAATATACTGTGTGATTTCTTCTTTATTTCTTGCCCCAATGTATATCCCTTGTTGTCGCTGTATTTGACTTTGGTACACTGGTATTGTATATACATTTATCTGAATCAAGGAAGGGGAACAACAGAATGGTGTGACAAAGAACAAGGGAGAGAAACGAATGCAACAGAATGTACAGAATGATCTATACAACTTGGGGGGTTGGGGGAGGGAAAGTAGGAGAAAAAATGAGGGAAGGGGGTAACAAGTTTGACAAGAAATGCATTTTTTACCTTACTTACATAACTATAACGCCTCTGTATATCATCTTGACAATAAAAAAAGCTAATTTAGCCCAGTACTGCTGACTTACTCATGTAATCTTACCTACCCAGGAGACTGAGATTTGAGGATTGTGGTTTAAAGCCAGCCTGTATTGGAAAGTCAGTGAGACTCTTACTTCCACTTAGAAAATGCCAAAAGTCATGTTTGTGGCTCAAGTGGTAGAGTGGTAGCCTTGAGCACAAAAAGGCTCAGGAACAGCACCCATACCTTGAGTTCAAGCCCCAGGACTGACAAAAACCCCAGCTAACTTACAGTCTTTTATGTCTGGATTATTTGGTAAAACTTCGTTTTCCTTGCCATGCTAGTGTCACTAAAGTTAAAGTCCATGGTGAGTGACCGGAACAGCCAATATGATCTTTTTTTCTTTTTCTCTAATAAAACATATTCCTAGCTTAATTATTCTATATTTGTAAATACATGTGGCAAAGATACCATTTTCGGATGGGACTATAAATGTCCGTAGGATTATATCAAATTACTTTCCTGAGAAGCTACACAAGCTATATGTTCCACATTTTGAGAGGTAAATAATGACAGGCCTTTGTTCAAGATCCTGAAGGAAAAAAACTGGAAGAAAACATCTAGCATGAATGCCAAGATACTTACACTCTCCTTAGACTTCAAGGCATGCTGCTAAAACAACAACAATAACAGCAATAATAAAGCAGTAAGAAGCAATAAATGATCCCTGAGATCACAAGCTGTAGAAAGGATTTGGGGAGGTTAGGCGACAGCGTGGGGAAGGGTTGGGAGGTTCATGAGTTGAAGGAAGGCCCTTAGTTGGTCTAACAGTTTTCAGACTCCAGATAAATGGTTTTATAAAGTATGGTTAAAAGGTTAAAAGAAAAACAACACATGTTGAACTGTCAGTAAAATGTGGTCTTAAAAGTCCCCAGGCCAGCTTTTTTGAAATCTTTGGGGTTGATCTCCCATGTGGCAGAGTCCTTGCCTGCAAGGAGGCAGAGGCACTTGACTATTGCCTGGGAAGAGGCCTGCGCCAAGGGGAGAGAAAAACAGGCCAAGTTCTGGACATCTGCATTCCACCCTTCTCCACTCCCTGAAGACTGACGGCCAGGGATTTGTGAAGTGGGCATTGATCCACTGCTGAGAGGAATTGTGGGATGAGCTGTTCAATTTGAGCAAGCTGCAGGGAAACCATCTGGGGCACTACTTTGCATGTAATTTTGAATAAATGGAATCATGTCCTAGAGGCAAGATTGTCTTGTTTCTCTGTCATAAGTAATCCTGAGACAAACAGTCCCCCAGATAGAATTGACTCACTTGAAATGTAAAAACAAGTCCAATTACAAACAAGCTCAATCACCTCTCCCTGGTCCTTCTCTGTCTCTAAACATGCTTTGTTTTCCTTCAGCTTGTAAAACAAATCAAAAGAGACACTGGTTTGTCTTTCTTCCATTCAAGGGGTCCTTCTGAGGTGAACCAATGTTAGCTCTCGGTGTTGCTTCTCAAGTGTTACTAGAGAAAAAGCCAAAATGGTGTTGTCTAGGCAAAGGTAACCAAACTAGTGTCATTAAAAATGAGGAAATGTACTCATTACTTGACTTATGTAATTGTAAACCCTTTGTATACATCCCCTTTACAAGAACAATAAAATTGTTTTTCTAAAAGAAACAATGTACCTGTCTCCAAGGTGGCTGTCTTCCCAAATAAGTTAAAGAGCCTTCTAATTAGAGAACTATTCAAAAATGTGTGTGAGAATAGTGTGAAATAAGAACTGTTCTTTAAAATATATATTCTTTTTGTTAAACTGTCAATTGTTCAAAGGAGTTTGATCATGGAATGTAACCCTGGATGTACCCTACTTTAATCAGGTTGATCACGTGTATATGCCTACAGTTTTATATGTGTTTTAATGTATGCTTATAATTTAGATCTAACCTCTATCTAATGGAGAAAGCACATATCCTTTGTCTTTCTGCACCTGTCTTATTTTACTCAACAAAATTTTCTTCCAGGTTCATCCACTGTTTCTGCAATGACAGACAGTTTATCAATGTGAATGCCAGTTTGATACCAAGAATTCCTCTAAAAAAGTAGATAAGACAGAGGTCTACTTCTTATGGGCCAAAATATTAAGGGAACAGAAGTCTTGATTGAAACAACTTAGGGCTTACATTTGCCATAAAAGCTGAAACATGTCTTGGGTGAGAGGAATGGAGATTTACAGCAGTATGGGATGAATGGAAAGAGAAAGAGTGGTTAATCCAGTTATAATCCTTAATGTGCCTAAATTGAAGGGAAGAGTCAAATAGGCAGAGAGGAGGGATAAGGAAAACACAGGTTACATTGAGCAAATTGCACTGTTCTCATACATTGACATGTTGAATTGAAGCCCTTGGGTACAGCAATTTAAAGATAATTAAAACAATAAAATAAAATTTCATTTCTCTTGGTTGAAAACAAGTTAACAGTAACAATGTTAGGAGATCCAAAAACATACTCATACTTTGATTGTAGTTCTTCACTCTGTAAGAAAATGTTATCCACAAATGAAAACACTTTCAAAGAAGGAGATATTACAAAATAAATTTAAATAGTGATCTATATACCAGGCTTGGGTGGCTCAGGAGACTAAGAGCTTAGGATCATGTTTCAAAGCCAGCCCAGGAAGGAAAGTCCATGAGGCTCCTATATCCAATAAAAAAAGAAAGAAAGAAAAAGAAAAAAGGCAGACATGGAGCTGTGGTTCAAGTGGTAGAGCACTAACCCTGAACAAAAGAAGCTCAGGAATAGAGTCCAGGCCCCAAATCAAAACCCCAGAACTGTTGCACACACACGTGTGTGCACACACACACAAACACACACAAACACACACAGAGATTTATCTGTAGATGGTGGCATTGTGAAGGCTATTCAAAGTATGGCAGATTTTGTCCAACTCTTGCTACTCAAGACACCTATCATTGAGGCTCTGGGTTCCTATCATTATTGTCACCATTCTCTATCAGCTAAAACATTTTGTATCATGTGTCACCCTCCCCCACACACTTCTAACAGTCTCAAGTATTTACTTTTTGAATGGAGAAGTGGATTTCAAAAAGTATACATTGCTTCTAAGCCCTGTGACTGAAGTTCTAAGCCTCATTTCCTTGTACAGATCTTTGCTTCTTTGCTGTTCTAATACAAAAACTACTTTTCAAGTCAGCCATTGAAAGGATGGGATATTGGTGTTATATTCACTGTGAGCCAACAATCATAGTCATTAGTATTTCATGTAAAGACATTCCCTACTTTCTAATCTTCAGATACACTATATTTGGGAAATAAAACCTTTACTATTAAAGCAACTACTAATGAAATATCAACTGTGGAAATATTTTATTCTTATCAAATATTAGTCTTTGCATCAAATACTGTGATTTAGCCCTTTAAGTATTTTGTGAAGTCATGTATGTAATAGTATTTAGAAATATGATCTTCATTATCAGAGAAACTGAATAATATCTAAAATATTTACTCTTATTACACAAGTAATAAAAGATTGTTAGTTACATCTAGTATATAATGATATAATAATGTATTCTATAACAACATTTTATACCAATTTTAATAAAATGCTACTTTACTAATTATTAAAGTCAATCAACTGATTCAAATTATGCCGATTTTCCAATTTGATAAGAATGTGAGATTTGTACTTGTACCTTGTTCTAAAGCATAAAGACCTGTTACTTGGGAGCTCTTAAAATTAAAAATGTGATTATGTGCTTGAACCATTATCACTTCTCTTAATGAATGAATCTGAGTATCATACACTATGGTAGACAGACAAATCTATGAGGATTTGATACTTTTCTCCCCTCCTTTTTCTGTATTTAATGGCTAGTGTTAAGTACATTTCTGCAATTGGAATAGGCATATAATTATCTGATTTTTCTGAAAGTACTGATTACAACTCGAATTGTCCCAAATGTGTGACTTTCCAACATTACTTACCCTGTTCCAGTTATAGAATTAAAAGGAGAAAACTAGCAAATATGAGTTCATTTCTTTAGTCCACTACTATATATTTATTAATCTTTAGTTCATGTAGCTGCTGCCAAACCAAAGTAAGGATATTTCTATTTCTGGCTAGGATGTAAAAAGTTACAAAGAACACTGTTCTGACTCAAACAATGAGATAATGACAAGTAAAGTACAGAATCATAACTTTTCTTGAGTATACCAGAATGCTCAGGTTGCAAGCCAATGAAGTTATGTGAAATAAAAAAGAAATATGCCATAAAAATAGATAAGAGAGAAAGGCATAGCTCTTCTGAGCCAGAGAAATAAGGGAAGAAAAGGTGGCTTGTAGCTAACCCCAAACAAACTTCTTTATGTCAGGTGTTAATTTATTAAGCTTTTAAAGGGCAAGAATGACCTACCTTCACTGTAAGACTATAAGAATTATCAATTCACACATGTAGCTGTGAAAGAATGCAAATAGAAACATTGCATTCTGTACCAACCAAGTGAGAATGCTACTTTTAGGAAAGGGAATTAGGAAAATCACTATGAAAATCAGTATAACGATTCCTCATAAATCTAAAGAAAAAAGTACCATAAGACCCATTGTTGCACTCCAGTGCACATATCAGAAGAAATGGAAACCAACATACAAGTCAGCACAACCATTCAGAGTAGTGGTATTGATAGTAGTCAATCTACGGATTCTACCTATGTGTCCATTAATCACGAATGCACAAAGAAAATGTGGTTTGGAAGTGCAAAATGCAGTGCTATTCATCTATTATAAAGGAAAGGAATTATTTCACTTGAAAAAATACCTATAACTGGGGATCGTGATATTTAACAAAATAAGTAAAACTCAGAAATAAAGATGTCATGTGTTTTTTCTCATGTGCAGAATCTAGATCTAAAAAAAAGTAAAATAAATGTAAAAAGGGAATTCTTTATGGGGAACCAATAGGGACAGAAGGGTAAAAGGCCAGAGAGTGATATGGATGAACATAGCATGTACATTGGAAGGCTATATAAACCCATTACAATAGAAAGTACAAAGGTAAGAAAATAAAGTAAGAAAAAAGTAACAGAGGGGAGGGTAAAAAAGAAATAAAAATAAGAAAAAAGTAACAGAGAGGGTAATTATGATCAAAGTACATTAATGTATGTATGGGAATATCATGATGTAGCCCATTGGTATAATTAATACACACTAATGAAGAATTGAGGATCTAGAAAATCACCTTCAAGGGCTTTTGATAACCATCCTTCAGTTACTCACAAAGGTATATGAGAACAATGCAGGAGATGAGAAAGGCCTTCTGAAAATTTGTACAAGATGAGCTGCAACTACTTCAGGGGAGGGGGATGGAAGAGATACAACACATTCTATGGGCTTCTTCAAGACTCTTTTCTCCTAGGAAACAAAATCTGACAGCTACTGAAGGAAGGGCAGAAATCCATCTCCTTAAAAGTGTGAGGCAAATCTCATTGTCACTCTGGAAAGTGACAAAAAAATAAAATCCACCCTTCAGTGATGAAGAGAACACCACTCTGGGCTGCTGGTCCTCTGTCTGTACTCATGATTCCCTGGGTGGGATCAGAGAATACCTGGTAACAACCAAGGCAAGATGAAAGGGATACTGTAGTGAGCATGAGAGAAGGAGCAGGAATGGTGAGGAAACACTCCATTCGTGCTCGCCTTCTGCTGGATTTGCAGGATCTGTCTAAGCTAAGTCTGAATTTGGACAACACTGCATACTGCCAGCCACTATTCTCAATCTGGACACATGGGAACAGGCTACCACTAGGGGTGGATAATAGAATAAATTTGGACTCCCTCTGCAGTACAGGTATACAGGGAGTAAAAAAGGAGAGAGTATATATAAACACTAAGAATTAAAAATTCAACCTCCCCAATCCACACCCATCTAGACTAGGAGATCTGTAGAACACAGAAGACTCAGTTAGAGAAAAAAATCCCAAACCTGGTTCAATGCAAAATGTTCAAGTAAACCAAAAGAAAGTAGAAAAAATCAGGGGTGGGGGGGAGGAGAGGAAAGTGAAATGCAAAGCAAGGGGAAGAAAAAGAAAAGTAACCAAATGATAGGCAAATTCTAAATGTCAAGAATTATATTAAAGTTCAAACAAACCAGTTAAAATGAACATTGCCAGACTTGATCTTGAAAACAATCTAAATACTTTAGACTTATCAAAAGAGCAAGCTTCTAAAACCAACCCCAAGGAGCCTGAGGCAGAAGGATCATAACTTTTAGGCCAATCTGGAGCACAAGGCAAAAACTTCTTTCAAAACAACAGCAATGACAACAACGTCACTGAATACACTGATAAAAACAAGATTAAAGCAAACACATCAAGAAAGCTATGTCATGCAAACTCTAAGGAGAAGAAAGCTAAAAATGATTAATAGAATATTAGACAAATAGACTGAGGAACAAAGAAATTTAGTAGGAGCAGAGGTATTATGTAATAGTAAGAGACCCAATACACCAAGAAGAGATGGAAATCTTATTTGTATATGTATATATAAAAAATGTAGGAAGCCAAACTAATACAAAGAAAGAAGTCACTCTCACACACACATACACACACACACACACACACACACAAATGTACTCATACATGTACACACACAATTCCACTATTACAACTGATGATTTTAGTACCTTTTTCCCAGTAATCAAAGAACTAGGAAGAGAATCTGAAAGAGGTAGGCTTACTGGAGAATAATTTATAGTACATCATTTAGAATTATGGGAAGGTAGCCAATGACTGACTGGTACTTTTATGCCACCTCCTTGTTAAATTAATGAGAACATTTGTCAAATTTTGTTGAAATAGACAATAAAATCTATCTTATGCACACACATATACACACATGTCACAAACTATAACCCTACAACACAACTAATACTATTAAATATTTCCACCTCTTTCTCGCTGACATACACACACGCATGCACGCACACACACACACACACACACACATTCACACATGCATGCACACTTATTCCCAAACAGGGTACTAACAAGTAAGGTATTTCACAGAATAGTTTGAATATTTGCTCTTGGTTCTTAGCATCCTGGTTTAAATATTTACTCTCTTCTATCAGTATTGATCACTTTATATTTATAGATAGGGAGCAATGTAAGAAGGAAGTTTAATGAAGTTTATGTGTAAGCTTGGGAAAAATCTGAACCTTGAATAGCTGACTTTTTCAGGCAGCCCTGGAGTTGTCAGTAAATTCTAATCCTAATAAAGGAAGCAGTAGGAAGCAGTAAGGACAGGGTCATAGAAAGGTCTGTTATGTGCCAGGCTGACCAATAATTTAGTGAGTGTCTCAACAGTTTTTGAACTAATTTGGTCCACATTTCTTCAGAGGAGAGGCTGAGAGCTGATGAAGCATGAAGAGAAGCTGCCCTTTGGCTACTCTTAGACTCCCTACTGTGTTCCACTTGGGAATTGTTGTATCTACTATCCGGAAAAGAATTCTGCACTTACCTTTCTCAGAAGGTCCTTTACCTGGGTTCTTGTTTTACTTGGTCAGGCCTCTTTCGACCACCTGAAATACTAGTTCTCTTGTAAATAGCTCTGTTATACAGTTTCCTTAACCTTATTAAAGTTCAGATGTGCAGTGGATGAACAGGTGAAAATGAGCAGTCCTGCTCACAGCCCACCTTTTTCTTTTTTCATGTGGGATGACTGTCGTGTCCCTTAGTCTAGGAAGACCATGTGTCTCCTCTCTTGAGAGACTTCCCTGTAATTTTTCACACCTCTTCCTGTCATCAAGGTGGAAGCCAGTGGTTAGAGGTGAGTCTTCAAGGAAGAAATAAGGTTGCAAAAACAACCTTGCTTTTTTTTCCTAGATGATCTTGCAAGAATAGAGCTGGGAAATTTCATTAGTCAAACAGTGGAATGATGTGTGCATACCTTTTCTGTATAAGGTAACAGGACCCAAGACACAAAAACGCTGTTCTCCTTTACTTATCAAGATACCCTCACACAGTTCCATCATGGTGGCCCTCAAGAACAAAAACAATAGACTTTTTTTAAACTTGTCTATGGACACTTGACTCATAAACTTGACTTTACAATAATGTAGTAGAATTTTCCCTGTATTATTCCATTTTTAGGAATCTTACTTGCTATTTTGAATGAATATCTCTGATTAAAACAGAGAGCATCAGCCATCCTCCTATATTTTTGATAATGTAGGATTAAAAAATACATGAGGGCATTTTGCATTAATCATACTCAGTCAATTGAATTTTAGTGCCTGGTGGAAATTTTAGAGCTGCTTTATAAAAATGGTTTCAATTCGGTGCCAATTTGCTGAACATATGAGAGGTAGGAAAATGCTGAGACTAATATTTATGAAAAAGTGACTGTATTAGGAAAATAGGTATAAATGATGATAGGAAATACAAATAGAAGGAACCTATGAACTCTCTTGTAACCACAACTATGTGCCAGAACAAAACATTTCTCTTCATCATTTGTGAATTATTAAGAATGCGATTTTCTAAAAATTAGCCTTTCTGTCCTTTGTCAAGTTGTAAATTTGACTCATTTATGTATTTTCTTGTTAAATTGTATGGTGTTTGACTCTCTAAAAGATCAATTGTGCTGACAGCAGGGCTAGAGATGCAATGATTGAGATGAAAAAATTCTCTATTGTGCATAACAGGAAAAACAACTATTAGAACTGAATGAGAAATCCATCTGTCTATAAGTCTTATAGACTACAGGCCTATTCTAAATTTTAGAAGTTATTTCAATGCAATATAATACAGGAAAACAAATTAAGCTCCAGAGTTGTTTACATAGATGGGTAAGAACAGAATAGTAACCAGAACTCCAGTGAGCTGCTTGCTTAACCAACAGTTCCAGGATGGCAGTGAGCTACGAATAAGTACCTTCATATACTTTAGAACAAGAGATGCAAGTTAACTATTGTGGAAAATGACCGACTAAAGAGAATTGTTGTGATATTAAAACATGGTAGGAACATTGAAATATATTATCCCTGAATAATTTTGCATGGTGTATAAAAAGTGGGTGTGCTAACTTTCCACACAATTTCTTCCCTGCCACTGTCTAATTTTGGAAGCTGACTCTGAGACTATGCAGTCAGGGTTTCTGTTTAGGAAAACAGTCACTATAAAGGGGGAAAAAAGAGGCTTGAATTCTCACTAATATAATTCATAGGAAAGAACCAAAGAAACACAAAACAAAACCAGAAATAATGGGAATAAAAGGTATTCTTATATAGTTATAGTAAAACTCAATACTTCATTCACCATTGTGAAACTGTGGGTCTAGCTTACGGAAACTTGCTTTTTGAATGAATGACACTAGCAATAGTGTTGCCCTAAAAAATTAATAGTTTCTCATACTGATTTTCAGGAGTCATGACAGATGAAGGATGGAAGGAAGACCTTTCACAAGATAGATACGTTTCGATCCTCACCAAAAATGTCTGAAAATATGCCACCTAACTTTTGTAGCTATTTTTTTTAAAGACAAGTGTATGCTTAATTCAGCGAACCAAATGAAGAACTATAACCAAAATTCCCTTCTGAAAAACTGCCCAGTGATTGACAGGGCCATTTGGCTCTTTGGGAAGAGTGGTAACACTGGAAGAATTAACTGGAAGATGAAGGAAAGATGACATAAAAAGCAAGGGAATGGATATGTAATTTAAATGAAGTAAAACTGCTCTTTTTTTCCCCCCTCCCCCTCCCCTAAGAACTTAGGGCCCAATTTTCTTCCTGCAGCCCTGCTTTTCACTCTGGGCTCCACCCCCTTCCCCATGTCAGGACTGCCCATCCTCCGCCTCCAGTGAACACAAAAGTGTTCTATTTTTCTTCTAATTAAAACGGAGACATTACTGATGAAAGGTGGGGAAGCTGAGTACTCTTTTTCATTTTGTTCCAAATTAGTTGGAGTTTACCCCAGATCAAAAGGAATCCAGACCTGAGAAAACAAACAGAGAACAAACAAGTAATTTGTGGGACCTGATACTGTTTTCCTGGAAGTGAGATTACTATGGCCCTTTTGGAGGTTGACTCAGCAATTATGACCCCAACAAGGTCAAAGGATCTGCTAGGCAGGGAATGCCTCCGGGGTCCTTCTTTCCTAAAGCAGAATTTGAAAACAAGGTTTCCTAACACAAAGTGTAGGTTGCATAGTTCTGGAGATCCAGATACAAGTAGAGTTACAGGAAATACGCATGTCAGCACACAGGACCCCATCCCCACACCCAATCACACTGTGCTGTGTGCAACTGATGACTATGCTTTTGCTGTGTGAATATCATCAATATAATTCTGTTGCTAAAAGTTTAGCTATTTCTTACACTTTTCCGGTATACTGCTTCTTGGTTGAGTATGTAAATCCATGGTAGAGAAGATGGAATGTAGATACTCTCTCTTACACACACACACACACACACACACACACACACACACACACACACACACACACACACACAGCATCTCTTGTGGTTATTTTAAAGTGCACAGTATGTCTACTTTTTTGCTATATATGAAATATCTGAAGAGTGTTTTAGACTACTCTTTTATGACTTTTTTTTGCTTTCAAAGCAGTTTATTAAAAAAATCTATCTAAATTCTTACAATGGTCAGCTCCTTTTCCTTTAAATTTGTTTCTTTTTATAATTTTTTTATCATGATCTTTAAGTTGTTATACAGAGGAGTTGCCATTTAACAAAGCAATTTAGGAATACAATATGGTCTAGATCAATGTCCTACAATTGTCAGCTACTTTTCCTTTAACTTTAGATGCTAGACACAGAGTAGAAGTAACCTAGAAGATTAGAGAAACATAAAACACTCAAGACATTTTGGACTGGGATTATTGTAAAAATTTGGTCTTAAACGAGGATGACCAGGAAGAAAACTATTCATTGTAATATAAATACATTTATCTCTGATCCTAAGTGAAGTAATTAATATGTCTGTACCTTTCTGTATCTCCTCTCGTGTGTGTATGTGTGTGTGTGTGTGTGTGTGTGTGTGTGTGTGTGTGTATGTGTACTACAGTTTTTCATCCATTCATCCATTGACTGGTACTGATAGAATTTACATATCTAGCTTCTATGAATGATATTATAACAAATGAAATTTGGCTGATACCATTTGCTTGGGAGATATTTTCCACAGAGAGATTATTGGGCCACAACATAGTTCAATTTTAGTTTCTTCGGGGCTTCGTGTTATTTTTCATAATGTCTGCACCAATCTACATGTCTATGAACAGTGTATGGGATTCACTTTTCTCCATACCTTCACAAACATTTATTATCTCTTTTTGACAATGGACATCCTAAGGGTTGTGTTACAAATCTTAGTGGTTTCAATGTGGCTTTCTCTGTTTAGTTATGATGGACACATTTTTTAAAAGTCATGGCGAGGAACTACGGTAGCTCCACGCGTGTCAGCTTCTACAAGTTGTTCTCACACCGGCTGTGCGTACCGACATGGCCACAAATAAAAACTTCCAAGCTTTCCTATGTAAGATTTTGAGAATTGAAGTAGTGCTTTCTGAGAGCATCAAGAAGAGAAATGTCTGTCATACTTCATACAGATGTAGGTGATATTAAAATAGAAATCTTCTGTCTGAGGACATCCAGGACTTGTGAGAACTTCTTGGCTCTTTGTGCCAGTAATTACTACAATGGCTGTATATTTCATAGACACATCAAGGGTTTCATGGTTCAAACAGGAGATCTAACAGGTACTGGAAGAAGAGGTAACAGTATCTGGGGCAAGAAGTTAGAGAAAGAATACAGTAAATATCTTAAGCACAATGTTAGAAGGGTTGTATCTATGGCGAATAATGGCCCAAACACCAATGGGTCTGTTTTTCATCACTTATGGCAAGCAGCCACATTTGGACATGAAATATACAGTATTTGGAAAAGTGATAGATGGTCTGGAGACTCTGGATGAGTTGGAGAAGTTACCAGTATATGAGAAGACATACTGACTTCTTAATGATGTACACATTAAGGATATAACTATTCATGCCAACCCATTTTCTCAGTAGCTGTAATAAACAGGGTAATGCCTAGCAAACTGTTCCTGGGAACACATCCATTGTGGTTTACCCAGTTTGAAGCATGTCAGAGACATGTCATCTATAAGCTGTTGTGTACCAAAGGGCGCCCAACAACTTCTTTCCTCATTTTTTTTTTTTTTTTGTGCTGGTCCTGGGCTTGACGTCTTGGTCTGGGTGCTGCCCCTTGAGCTTTTGTGTTCAAGGCTAGAGCTCTACAACTTGAGCCATAACTCCACTTCTGGCTTTTTTGGTGGTTAACTGGATAAGAGACTTTCCTGCCCGGACTGGGGCACTTTCAAAGAGTTTGTACTTAAGGCCCTGACCTTCCTAGGCTACTTCTATACCACTTGAGCCATGCCTCTAGCTCTGCTTTTTGTTATTTTTGGAGGAGCAATCTCTTGGACTTTTCTACTTGGATTGGCTTTGAGCTTTGATCCCATAGATCTCAGCTTCCTGATAGGATTACAGATGTGAGTCACCAGGACCCAGCCTAATTAATGTTTTGATTCTTTTATCTCTAATCTGAGATAGCTTGTGGCTATCCTCTTGTTACCATTTATATCTTGCACTAAACTGAAGTCCTTATTGGACCAACGACCTCACATTTGGTTTCATTATGCTAGTCATTTTGACTTGTAAAATTATAACTACTTTTTGGCAAAAAAAAGTCTGGTGGTTATTTTAATATCTTCTTTAGAGAAGAGTATGTTTTTGCCTTTGTAAAAATCTTTACTTGTGTTTCTGATTTGGAGTTTATCATATAATTTGGATATTGGCTTTCTACTAAAATCTACAAAAGAAAATTATTAAATATGTAGCATCAAACTACCAATCTTCTGCACAGTAAGAGGAAAAATATCAACAAAATGAAAAGATAATGTAACGATTAGGAAAATATTTGCAAAACAGATATATTTGAACATTTTAGTAGTTAATGAGAGAAACTAGTTTAAATTTATTATGAATGTTTCTGATATATCAAATTTTGGGAAAAAGAATAATAATCGATTTATAATCAGACATGCACATAATAGAAAAATATTCTCTGGCAAGATGGCTGATAATGCTAGACTATAGTTGCTTAAGTTCTATACTCTCATTTTATTAAAAAAGGTTTCTGTATTTCCATTTTAATCTCTATGTATCTATCTATGTATCTATGTATCTATCTATCTATCTGAGTAGGAAAATGTGCAAAATGAGATTCATTCATAGTTAATAATATTTACTTCTGTATAAAAAGAGTGATTAATAGATTATCTTGTTTTTGATTGATAACATTTGAGATTCTTTAAAATCAGCATTCATAATATATACAATAGTAATAGGGTATTAGCTGCTCAAAAGTAATTGTAATCTGGGCACTGGTGGCTTATTTTTCTATTTGGAGATTCCACCTCCAAATTAACTAGGAGAGAGTCTGATTATATGTGTGGTAGAACATCAGTCTAGCATCAGCCCAGCAAAGCAATCACGAGGTTCTGAGTTCAAACCCACGTTTTCCACTCTCATATTCAATAGCATTTTCTGTCAATAGTTCATTTACTGAAGGATTATAAACCAATGAGGGAAGCTTTAGTGCTCCTCTGATCTAGTGTGCTTTCACCTTCCTTTGTTTCTCAGACAGGTGTGGTATTGGTGCCATGGGAAATCATGTCTCAACATCTAATGGCCATACTCTTATTCAAGTGAAGTTTCTTAATTATCGAAAGTTGGTATTACATAACATTTCTTTTTATTTTCTGATAGTCCAAATCTACAGATTGTGTATATTCACTACAATAGGCTGCATTTTAGCATTGAATCTTACAGCAAATCTCAATTCTAAATCACCACAATGAGCACCTTTACAGTAGAAAAACACTACTTTTCATGCAGATTAATATCATGGCGTTTAATTATGTAAGAGGAAAATAAGTACACTTTTCTTAACTATTTAGGCCAATGTGTACAGAATCTGGTTGCCTAATCTACACAGGGCCCTTTTGGAAGTCAGCTACTCTTCCTTTAAATTTGTTTCTTTTTATAATTTTTTTAAATCATTGTCTTTAAGTGTATGCTTAATTCAGTATACTGAGTGAAGAATTATAATCAAAATTCTCTTCTGAAAACCTGCCAGTGGCTGACAGGGCCATTTGGGTCTTTGGAAAGAGTGTGTGTTTCTTCTAAAAATAAAAATAGAACTTCTAATGTTAGGCTCTCTCATTAACATAACAGTGGATTTGCTAGGAACCTGTTATTCACAGCTATAGTCATTGAAAGGCTAAATTTAAGAGAAGCATGGTTCAAGACCAGTCTGGGAAGAAAGGTTAGCAAAACTCCATTTACAATTCATATCTAGGCATTGTGGTGCACACCTACAACCCCAGGCTACATGGAAGTCTGAGACTGGGAGAATCATGGCGCTAGGCCAACCTATGCATAAAAGTTCATGAGGCTCCATTTCCAAGAAGCAAAATTAGATGCAGTGACATGTGTCTGTGGTCCTAGAGACAACAGGACCTATAGAAGACTGGTCATGGTCCAGGTGTGCATTAGGGAAGGGACACTCTACCATAAAAATAATCAGTGAAAAATGGGGCTAGAGGCATGGCTCATTGGTATTGTGCCAGAATAGTCAGCCCAAGGCCCTGAATTCACATACAGAGTATATTAAACCCCTCCCCTTCCCCACCCTCTAAAAAAGAATTTGTAGGCATTGGTTGGTGTTCTAGATAAAGACGATAGAAGATAACACTGAATGGAAATACTTTATTCACTTACAAAGAACTTTGCCCAGCCATTGCCCACTACCTTCCAGACCTTTCCCTCCCCTTCCTAACTCTTCAAGGCTTTGAATCCAGCTGGGATTTAGGTAACTGCTGGGAAGTATTAAAACTCATTATTTGTTTGACCAGAATCATTGCCCTCTGTTATTTTCCAATAATGCTCTTCTGAATGGTTGCTTTAATACTTTTAAAAGATGTGCGGTACTGCAGCAGGGTATTATGTAGGACAGGAATTATAGTTATCGTTGCAGATGAGGTGTGTTGAAAGAGGTCAGGGTGACGCAGTTGGCAGATTTCAAAATTGCCCTCCTTATTATTACCATCTGTGTCAACTTCGAGCATCTGTTACAGAAAGGACAAGAAAAATGAAGCTGTGGTACTGTTGAGGGGAGACTTCTTCTTCATTAGGATTAACCCTGTATACACATAGGAGGTGAATGAAAATGAAAGATTGTGTCATGCTGTTACTGGATATCACTTGTAACCATCCTCCTCTGTAACTCATAATTAACTGTTTCCTTTCCACAATTTTATTGCATCAGTTTTTATTGGAGAAACAGTAGACAGTGATCATAAGATTGGATGGAACCTGGTGAAATTTTTAATGCTACCTTTATAGCAAATATGTTATGGCTGGCCAAAAAAGTGGCTCATTTTTATAACCAAGTATATTGGCAGTAGAAATGAGTGAAGAACAAGGAATATGCAAGTCTATATGAAGTGCTTGGAATAGCTAGCTATTTGGAAGGAATATGACTCATTTCAGGGAAATGATGTAGGTCACAATCAACCACAAAATGAAGAAAGCAAAAAGAATGTCAAGTGTTGGCTTTTAGGTTTCTCATGTTGGGTTTATAAGCAAGTGACATCACTTAAAGACTTTACTGTAGGGGCACAGTGAAAGTATCCAGTGCACATGTAATTCAGAGGAGAATAAAGCTAAAGTAAGCAGTTGGTTTTACTTAAAAAAAAAAAAAAAGGTCACCCAAGCATTTCTACACAGCAAAACTAAGACAAACTTTGTGTAAGTATAACCATCGGAAGTTCTATTCACCTATGAGAAAGAATTGGAGCTTAACATCAGAGACACATAACAGAATTTGCTTTGTTTATTCACCCTTTAGCTTATTTATTCAAATAAAAGACACTTTTCTTATTATAGAATGAGGACTTAGTAAACATTTGTATTACTAATAAAAGGTCGTGGGCAAATACTGGAAAGTGTTAAGTGAAGAGAATTTATGTAAATGAGAGGTACTGTCAAGATTCAAATATATAAACATACAAGTTTTATATGGTCTTATTCCTGGCAACAGGAATCACTCGCTAAATCAAAACAGCAATGGGAGGGAAACAATGGAGGAGAAAGAAGGAGGGGTGACTAAGAAGCTTTATACTAATATGCAACTGTAACCTCTTTGTACTGTATGTAATAATAATAATAATAATAAATATTTCACTGCAAAATAACAATTAAACTAGTTCATTGTGTGCTATAAGAGATAATTTAACAAAGAGATGCCACTTTCAGAACTACCTTTTATGGGACAGAAGGAGTTTGTTCTTCCTTTCTAGCTGAGTTTCAATTGTCAAACATGAATGAGAGGTAACCTCCTTCTTATGGCTATGTTCTCAAGTATTCTCAGAGTTATACTGTCTTTGTGTGGTGTAATTCTGCAGCCACGTGCTGAGGGTTGCAGGAAATCAGCCACACTATTGGGGACTATGACATCATCTTCCAGTGACCCTACCCTTGAGCTCACACTGAAGAACAGAATAGAGCTTCATCACCATGCAATACGTATTTCTCTTAAGATATTGCAAAGCGATATACTAGGAGTGCACCCTTTTAATCTTTACAAGTTATTTTGAGATTGCTGTGTATGTTAATAAACACATTTGTAAATAAATTGCTTGCAGGGGAAAAAAACTTTCTGAGTTACAGGTCAGAAAAAGTCTGCTGAATTTATAAGCTTACTTAAGACAGTATAACCATGGAAAGAAAAACAGCTTTATACTTCCTCATCTATTCATTGCAACAAAACTCTTTAACTGGAAAAATCTTATTGCTTCATACTATGATCCTCAGATCTCAGCCTCCTGAAAAGCTAGGATAGTAAGCATGAACCACCAACACCTGACTTTAATTTTTTGAGTTCTCACTGTGTTTTGCATATAACCCTTCATCCATTGAACAGCAGGGGCTGAAGACTGCTCTCCCATTCTATGGATTATCTCTTCGTTCTACTAATTGTTTCTTTATATGCAAGAATTTTTTAATGTTGTCAGTCTCATTCACTTGTTCTTGTTTTAATGTTAAGTTATTCCATTCATTCCTTTCCTTATTTTTTTTTTTTTTTTGCTGGGCTATTGGAATACTATTCATAAATACAGCTAGACAAATGCTTTGGTGGTTTCTAATATGGAGGTGAGCGATAGAGAAAGACTTCCCAGTTGCAAAATGATCCAATATGTTCCTAACTGGCCTTTACAATCCCAGGATACAACTCTGACCCTTACAGGAGGATCACATCATCCCCCAATCTCTGAGTTTGTGAAAAATGACTTGATTCTTTAGGGAATTGTTTTTCAACAATTTCAAGACCAATGGAATGTATAGCTAAGAGGTTATCTCTGGATTCTTAGTTACATTTCACTGGTCTACGAATGTATCTTCGTGAAAATTCTGTAAAGTTTATTTGATGAATGTAGCTTTGTGGTAAATTATAATTCCAGCAATAAGGGTCTTTCAATTTTATTGCTTTTTAATACTCTTTTGGCCATTCCGGGTCCCTTCCTTTCCTTATGAATTTTGGTAG